GGTGCCACCGTCCGCACAGTGGTTCACCGATCGCGCCAGGGTGCACCGTCCCACAGTGGTATCCCGTCGGCAGGGTGCACCGTCACAGTGGTTACACCGTCGCGCAGGGTGCACCGCCGCACAGGGGTGCACCGTCGCGCAGGGTCCATGTCGGCAGGTGCCACTGTCCGCAGGGGTGCACTGTCCGAGGGGTGCTGTAGTGCAGGTGCCACTGTCCCAGGGTGCACTGCTCCACAAGGGTGCACTGTTGCTCAGGGCACTGTCGTGAGGTGCACCTGTCGCACAGGGGTGCAACTGTCCGCAGGGTGCCACTGTCGCGCAGGGGTGCCACTGGTCCGCAGGGTGCACTGTCGCAGGTGCATTGTCCGCAGGGGTCACTGTGCCGCAGGGTGAAACTGCCCGCAGGGTCACTGTGCCCGCAGGGGTGCACTGTCGGCAGGTGCACTTTCGTGCAGGGTGCACTGTCACCGCAGGGGTTGCACTGTCCGCAGGGGTGCACTGTCACAGTGGTGACGTCGGCAGGGTGCACCTGTCCCGCAGGGGTGCACTGTCGTGCAGGGTGCACTGTCCCGTAGGGGTGCACTGTCCCGCCAGGGGTGCACTGTCGCGCAGGGTGGCACTGTCCGCCAGTGGTCATGTCATGCAGTGGTTCACTGTCGCGCAGGGTCACTGTCGTGCAGGGTGCACTGTCCACAGGGTGCCACTGTCGCGCAGGTGCACTGTCCACGCAGGGTGCACTGTCCCGCAGTGGTTCAGTGTCATGCAGTGGTTCAGCTGTCGCGCAGGGTGCACTGTCCCCATGGTGCACTTCGCTGAGTGGTGCACTGTCCCACAGTGTGTGCTGTCGCTGAGCTGGTCACTGTCCCGCACGGGTGCGTGTCCCGCAGTGTGCGCGTGTCGCACTGTTCGTCAAGTGTTGCACTGCTCAGTTGGCACTGTCCGCAGTGGTGCGCTGTCCGCAGGGTGCACTGTCCCACCATGGTGCACTGTCCGCAGGGTGCACTGTCCCACCCATGGTCACTTCCGCAGTGTGGAACTGCCCGCAGGGGTGCACTGTCGCAGGGGTGCGCTGTCGCGGTGGTGCGCTGTCCAGCAGTGGTGAACTGTCCCGCAGGGGTGCACTGTCGCTGAGTGGTGCGCTGTCCCGCAGGGTGGCACTGTCGCTCAGTGGTGCGCTTCCGCAGGGTGCACTGTCGCTCAGTGGCCTGCGCAGGGGTGCGCTGTCGCCTGAGTGGTGGGCGTGCCGCGCAGGGGTGCACTGTCGCTCAGTGGTGCGCCTGTCCCGCAGTGGTGCACTTTGTGCCTGTATCCTGTGTGCGCTGTCCCACAGGTGGCTGTCCGCAGGGGTGCGCTGTCCCGCAGGGTGCACTGCGCTCAGTGGTGCGCTGTCCGCAGTGGTCACTGTTGCTGAGCACTGTTGCTGAGTGGTGCCGTCCACAGGGTGCACTGTCACTGAGTGGTGCGCTGTCCCACCAGGGGTCACTGTCGCTGAGTGGTGCGCTGTCCACAGGGTGCATTGTCCCGCAGGGGTGCACTGTCGCTGAGTGGTGGGCTGTCCCGCAGTGGTGCGCTGTCGCTGAGTGGTGCGCTGTCCCGCAGTGGTGCCGCTGTCGCTGAGTGATGCGCTGTCCCTGCAGGTGCGCTGTCACTGAGTGGTGCGCTGTCACACAGGGGTGCATGTCCACAGGGTGCACTGTCGCTGAGTGGCTGCCTGTCCCACAGGGGTGCACTGTCGCTGAGTGGTGCACTGTCGCTGAGTGGTGCGCTGTCCCAGGGTGCATTGTCCGCAGGGGTGCACTGTCGCTGAGTGGTGCACTGTCCTGCAGGGGTGCACTATCGCTGAGTAGTGCGCTGTCCCAGGGGTGCATTGTCCCGCAGGGGTGCACTGTCACTGAGTGGTGCGCTGTCGCTGAGTGGTGCGCTGTCCACAGGGTGAGCTGTCCACAAGGGATGCACTGTCCTGCAGTGTGCCCTGTCCCGCAGGGTGCACTGTCACTGAGTGGTGGGCTGTCCGCAGGGTGCACTGCACCTGAGTGGGCGCTGTCCCGCAGGGTTGCACTGTCACTGAGTGGTGCCCTGTCCCGCAGGGTGCACTGTCACTGATGGTGCACTGTCCCACAGGGTGCACTGTCGCTGATGGTGGCGCTGTCCCACAGGGGTGCACTGTCGCTGAGTGGTGCACTGTCGCTGAGTGGTGCGCTGTCACTGAGTGGTGCACTGTCACTGAGTGGTGCGCTGTCCCGCAGGGGTGCACTGTCACTGAGTGGTGCGCTGTCCCACAGGGGTGCACTGTCGCTGAGTGGTGCGCTGTCCCACAGGGGTGCACTGTCACTGAGTGGTGCGCTGTCCCAGGGGTGCGCTGTCCCGCAGGGGTGCACTGTCCCACCATGGTGCACTGTCACTGAGTGGTGCACTGTCGCTCAGTGGTGCGCTGTCCCGCAGTGGTGCGCTGTCGCTGAGTGGTGGCTTGTCCCGCAGTGGTGCGCTGCCCAAGGGGTGCACTGTCACTGAGTGGTGCGCTGTCCCGCAGGGGTGCACTGTCACTGATGGTGGCCTGTCCCGCAGGGTGCGCTGTCCCGCAGGGGTGCACTGTCACTTGAGTGGTGCGCTGCCCACAGGGTGTGCACTGTCGCTGAGTGGTGCATGTCGCTGAGGGTGCGCTGTCCCACAGGGGTGGCATTGTCCCGCAGGGGTGCACTGTGCTGAGTGGTGCATGTCTGCAGGTGCACTGTCACTGAGTGGTGCGCTGTCCCACAGGGGTTGCATTGTCCCCGCAGGGTCGCCTGTCCTGAGTGGTGGCGCTGGCCTGAGTGGGCGCTGTCCCACGGGTGAGCTGTCCCATCAGGGATGCACTGTCTTGCAGTGGTGCCCTTCCCGCAGGGGTGCACTGTCACTTGATGGTGCACTGTCATGAGTGGTGCCGTTCCCACAGGGGTGAGCTGTCCCACAGGGATGCACTGTTCTGCAGTGTGCCCTGTCCCAGGGGTGCACTGGTCACTGAGTGGTGCGCTGTCCCACAGGGTGCACTGTCCCGCAGTGGTGCACTGTCCCACAGGGTGCACTGTCCCCGCAGTGGTGCGCTGTCCACAGGGGTGAGCTGTCCCACAGGGATCACTGTTCTGCAGTGGTGCCCTGTCCGCAGGGGTGACTGGTCACTGAGGTGCGCTGTCCCACAGGGGGGCACCTGTCACTGAGTGGTGGGGGCGCCTGCCCACAAAAAGGGTGCACTGTCGCTCAGTGGTGCACTGTCGCTCCAGTGGTGCACTGTCACTGAGTGGTGCACTGTCGCTGGACAGTGCACCCCTGCGGGACAGCCCACCACTCAGTGACAGTGCACCCCTGCGGGACAGGGCACCACTGCAGGACAGTGCATCCCTGTGGGACAGCTCACCCCTGTGGGACAGCGCACCACTCAGTGACAGCGCACCACTCAGTGACAGTGCACCCCTGCGGGACAATGCACCCCTGTGGGACAGCGCACTACTCAGCGATAGTGCACCCCTGCAGGACAGTGCACCACTCAGCGACAGTGCACCCCTGTGGGACAATGCACCCCTGTGGGACAGCGCACCACTCAGCGACAGTGCACCCCTGCGGGACAGCCCACCACTCAGCGACAGTGCACCCCTGCGGGACAATGCACCCCTGTGTGACAGCGCACCACTCAGTGACAGTGCACCCCTGCGGGACAGTGCACCCCTGCGGGACAGCGCATCACTCAGCGACAGCGCACCACTGCGGGACAGCCCACCACTCAGCGACAG